TGTGTTGGCAGCTGAACATCAGACTGGACATATCTGACAACTACTTCTCATGTCCTCTCCGTAGACAAATGTATACTTGAATAAAACTCGGATGAACAAATAAAAGTGTAAGAAAACGTTGTTTCTTTTTTTTTGAGTGGCAGTTCTGTCTGACTTTTTAATCAGAAGTGCACAGGGGTGTAAGACAGTCATTTACACAACAGCCACATTCAGCAGTGTAATAGAGAAGTATTATCATGTAAAGCTCCCAGGCAGTTAATAGTGAAACTAGAATGATGTGAGAGCAAAATAAAAATATAGCTCATAACCACTCCTTCTTACTCTGGGCTATTTTCTTTGATGTGTTGGATCAAAGGCATGGATCGCTGTGAAATGATCTCTCTCAGAGGAGATGACGGTACGGGTGTAACACAATAACTACGGTACATGACCATTACACTGCGTTTTTTCACAGGTCAGAAACTCTGTGTGTGTGTGTGTGTGTGTGTGTGTGTGTGTGTGTGTGTGTGTGTGTGTGTGTGTGTGTGTGTGTGTGTGTGTGTGTGTGTGTGTGTGTGTGTGTGTTTCACGGCTGATGTGTGTCGACACGGCGAGGGGGGGGCAGGGCTGGAGCATCGCCAGTGTTTCCCGGCAACAGCATCAGTGAGGCAGGAGGATCCTCGCCCTTTATTTCTACCTCTTGATTTTAATCCTTTATTCCTCCTCTGCTCCCATTCATCCCCCTCTCACTGAGGAGGAGGAGGAGGAGGAGGAGGAGGAGGAGGATTTCGATACTGCAGGAACAGACTGAGGAGCTGCAGGAGAGGAGAGACCGGCACAGGAGGAACAGAAGGAGAAGGGAAGGATGTCAGAGAGACAAGGAGAGGGGAATTTAAGAAATGGACATATGAAGGGTTAAAGGACGGGGCAGGGGAAAGAGGCTGGAGTGAGGCAGAGGAAAGATAACGGACATAAAGACAAAGGAACAAATAAAAGTACAGGTAGACGGAAAACAGGTCCAATGACCAGAGAGAGGGAAGAGGAGGTGAAGAGAGGAAGAGGAGGTGAAGAGAGGAGGTGAACAGAGGGTCTTCAGGTGGATCTGAACGGAGGGTCTTCAGGTGGATCTGAACGGAGGGTCTTCAGGTGGATCTGAACGGAGGGTCTTCAGGTGGATCTGAACGGGGGGTCTTCAGGTGGATCTGAACGGAGGGTCTTCAGGTGGATTTGATGGAGGTTTCCGGTCTCCGCTGGTTTCTCTCTGGATCCGGCGGACTTCCTGTCAACAACACGAGAGGTTCTGACGTTTGACCGGTCGGCAGTGGACCAATCACATGACTGAAGATGAAAGGAAATAATTTGGACATATTAGTTATTTACGGACAGAGTGAAATCCCCTTCACGGGAGTTACTCTGAGAAGAGGGTCCAGCTGGGTAATCTGAGATGCAAAAGTCTACGAGGGAGAGAAGACTCCGGGGACAGAGGAGACGGGTGGGGTTAATGATGAGGGAACACAGTGTTGTTGACCAAACTAAGTTCTTGGAGAACTCCCGAAGGCTCAGGACTTTGGTTGCAGACGTGACTTAACGGAGGACAGAAAGACGGACAGCCAGTTTAACAAATCGACTTCTTGCTGAGAGTGGAAACAGGACGCAGCGTAATCACACATTCTACTGAGGATCGGCTGATGGAGACGTTTGTTGGAGGCAGTTTTGATCTTCGCTGGACTTCCTCGCTCGAGGGCGGACGGCTTACGGATTAATCGAAGATGCTTGTGTGCAGAGTATGAAATAGATCCAAGATCCAAAAAGGAAAACTCCCACAGGACTAAAAGACTTTGAATGCTCCTGGAAACTAAAAACACCCGGAGGAACAAAAGAGTCCTCGATGACCACGGGAGTCTCTTCAGTCTGAACCCGATCTGAAAGGGTGATTCTCTGGATCAGACTCTGAAGGTCCTCTCGCTGCCATGTTGGACCCTGAAACACACCTTTGTCCTCTGCGGCGCCGCCTCCATGGTGCCTCCTCCTCCTCCTCCTCCCCCTCTTCCTTGTTGGATTACACCTGTGTTCATGACGATGAATGAGCACAGGAACGTGTTCGGTTCCTCTTCAAACCCAAGAGCTGAGAGCAGATAATGGATTCAGAGGAACGGTGAGTATCACCTCATTGTGACGTGCAAAGAGTTATATGGATTATTCCAGGGTTTCTAACCAGCTCAGTGTTGAGGGTGATGATGTGTTCAGGGGACGGAGAGCAGTCCATAAATCCAGCTTCAATCAGGAGGCAGGGTTTAAAGGGACCTCAGTCAGGGAGCAGCGGGGGTGTTACCTTTAACGATGGCTTGTAAACTGACAGGAACCCTTCAAGCACTCTCAGAGGAAGGGTCCGCGCTCTTCATCGGTCCCTGAGGTCTCTTCCTGGTCGAGGCTGACGTTACCTCATTAACCCTCTCACAGGAAACAGAAAGACAGATAGTCTCTCTGTGTGCATCGTTCAGCAGGAAGTACTCCACTAAACTCTCTGATTATGAATCTGACCTGTAAACTGAGTCCTCAAGCCATCACTGTGCAGTTAGAGGCTCCTTATGAGCTGCGTTATCAACTGGCTGCTGCACAACACATACACTGATCCCCAAATCTGAGGCTAACGCTAACTGTTGTTTGTTAGTGATATACAACTTTAGCTAGTGCAGCTACGTTAGCATCTTCATACGGAGGCCCACAGGTGCAAACGCTCCACAACGATATCAAATCTCTTCCATCAGGAGAAGCTGCTTCAGAAAGGATGCAGATACAGAAACCCAAATGTTCCACATGAAGAAACATCTCCAGCAACAACACATGCAGCGTTTAGAGAACATTCAGCAGCTTGAGGAGACATGCAGCGTTTAGAGAACATTCAGCAGCTTGAGGAGACATGCAGCGTTTAGAGAACATTCAGCAGCTTGAGGAGACATGCATCAGGTTTCTGATGTAAACCTGTTTCTTTGAGGATCTTTTAGCAGCTTTCTCAAATCCAGAGTGTGTGTGTGTGGGTCTTGAACCAACACACACACACAGACAGACACACACACACACACACACACACACACACACACACACACACACACACACACACACACACACACACACACACACAGACTGTTTCTCCCAGTAGAGTCATTCAGCTGGTCTCCCTGTTGTGATGTTAATGATACATCGCTATTTAAGGCTTAGATTTGTGTTATTTTTCCGAAAGTATGTGTATATTTACACATCATTTGTTCAAAGAGTGTCTGAAATGTGAACATTGTAACTTCAAACCCTGCTGGAGTGTATTATCTGTACGAAAGCACGTCGTCTCTGTTTCATTGAAGCAGCTGCAGGACGTCTCGATGCTCAGACTGTGGTTCCCTCTGTTACTCAACTTCCTGCTGCTGCTTTTCACTTTTCAGAAGTTGCTCTTAAAGCCTTGATGTCTCCTCAGTCCCCAGAAGCCCGATGTTGTTAACGTGGTTGGATCATCAGTCAGAAAACACAAAGATCTGCTTCACGCTGATGAACACGGACGCTAACGTTAGACGCAGAGACTTTAAAGAGCGCTTTATGTTTGAGGTCAGCTTTGATCTGCTGGATGGAAATAGGCTAATGTTTGAAGGCAAATGTGATCAATCTGAGCCCACATCCCATCGTCCCTGAAGCCCTAATATATATAAAGTGTAGCAGCATTGAAAGCAAGCCTTGAAACTTGAAACTTGAAAGAAAGTCTGGATCGCATCGAGGCTGCAGGAGAGAAAACATCCAGACCATCAAATCAAATCAAATCAAAATGTATTACAGCCCCAAATCACAAGAAATGCCTCAAAGGACTGTTCAAAGCAAACTAAAGCAAAGCACATGTCTCATGCACAAAGTGTAGAAATAGAAATGAAAATCTTCCGACCTGAGCTCCTCCAACAATCCAGCCAAATAATATAATAATAATATAATCAAACATTCAACATGAGTATTGCCTTGTGATGAAAGCATGTGCCTGAAGTGATGCTCATGTGGATGGAACGAGGTGATGGAGATTAGTTGAAGAGGAAGACAGATGGGTTTGGAGTTAGAGTCAACGGAGATAGCTTCGGATCTGAAATGGGAGACGATTCCAAAGGAGAGGCTCAAGGCTCTTAGTCACAGGCTCCTCCAACAGAGCAACACGATATCCAATAGTTAAAATAGTGCAAGGAGAGTCTATATTCAAGTAAATGGAATATGATATGTTAGATAAATATTAAGGTGCTCTGAATGAAGAGGCTCTTCCCCCTACGGATGATTTGTGAAACAATAGAAGCTGCATGTTCGTAGATAAACGTTACTACCCCATATCGGCTTGACTGTCATGTATAGAAATCCTTTGGGGGCTTTGGTGGTCTATCTTTACGACCTGGGAAACGAGTCCATGCCTTAGTTTTTAGCAGACTGGACTTCTGTAATAGTGTTTTCACAGGTCTCTGTTACAACATCTATAAAACAACTACAACTCATCCAGAACGCCAGTCCTCACCAAAAGAGAGTTGACCACATCAGGCCAGTCCTCAAAGACCTGCTTCCTGTCACACCAAGGACACACTTTGAAATCCCACTCTCTGCACACAAAGCACTGGATGGGTTGGGACCAGGTGTCAGAGATCTTCACTGTTGGAGCCAGAGCTCTCTTACCTTCAGGAGGTTTACTCCTCGTCTCCAGAGTCAGAACTCCTGAGGCAGCTTTGAGCTTTTACTCAACCCAAGGAACAAACTGAGTGAAATCCCTTCTTTTGAATGCAGCTGTCCTGAGGTCCTTTAGCCGTTCCTTATCGTTGCACTTTGAGCTGCAGCCAGTATTTTATCGCTTTTATGAATTGTTTTTTTTTTGTTTTGTTTGTGTGTTTGTTTTGTTTTTAATTATTTTGTGTTAAAAGCACTTTGAATTGCCTCTGTGTCTTAAAACGTGCAAATAAACTAGCCTCGAACCTTATACCATATAAAACACATTCTTTAAATGGTTCCTCCCCTGAAGATGGCGGGTCTGGAGACGGGGAAGAAGCTGTTCGCTATAAACGGAGACCTGGTGTTCCTCCGGCCGTTCTCCGAGGTGGAGATCCTCCTGCAGCGGTGCTTTCACAGCAGGGGGCCCCTCAGGGTCTTAGTGAGCACCAAGCCTCGAGAGTAAGTCACATCGGCTTTCAAACGGGCAAAGAAGTGATGGTTTGCATGTTTTAAAGTGTGGTTATATGAAGTTCTTCTCCAGTCAGTGAGGCCCTGCACTGATTTGGGCGTGTTTAGGAGAACTAAAAGCATATTTATATATTTTTAGAAGATTTGCTCCTTTACTTTGCCCTTTCTGACGGGGATATTACGTCTTTATTTATATTCTCCCTCCACGAGACATTGACTCAAACAACGCAGTATCAAATGTTAGAAAATATTGAATGATGTGCATCCCAGTGACTCAAAGTCCAAGGTGATGTCTTCAAATGTCTTGTTTGTAAATTATCCAGAATCTAGAGGCTTAAGATGGCATTTTAAAACATTTCTGCATAAAGAAAGTGACTTGATGACCAGCTGATGGTCAGAATAGATGATAACATGCAATGACACATTTCGATCTATTGCTAACTGTAAAAGAAAAGATTTTTTTGCAACTATGGAGAATAACCTCAAACAACCTAATGTGAAACTATCCATTCCACCTGTATCTGAGTAAAGGTACGATCTAAGAGGTATGTTAAAGACTCCTCCTCCTCCTCTTCCTCTCAGGACGGTGAAGATCCCGGACTCGGCCGATGGTCTGGGTTTCCAGATCCGAGGCTTCGGCCCGTCAGTGGTGCACGCCGTCGGCAGAGGTGAGAGATCTCCACCTCTCCGCCCTTGTGTTGTGCTTCACAGCTGGAGAGCAGATGCTATAATCCTGGATGTGTGTGACTTGGCCTCAAGGCTCAGATTCCACCTGCTCATGCTCTCCGTGCGGCTAAGTCATGTTCCACATTTAGAATCATTTCCACATGCCTGCTCACATTTTTCTGCTCGCGGCTGGATTCCTGTGTGTTTTGAAGGAGAGCGTGTGTGTGTTGCTGTTCTAGCATGTGTGTGTTGAGGTGTGTGTGTGTGTTGTTGTTCCAGCTCAACACCACGAGCTGGAACAAAACAGAGTGAAATCAAGAAACAGTCCTCGGCCTTGTCGGGCGTTTCTCAGGGGATTGGATCTAGTTTTTTTATTCGCCTGCAGCTATCTAAGTGAGGTGTGTGTGTGTGTGTGTGTGTGTGTGTGTGTTTGTGTGTGTGTGTGGGTGGCGGTGGGTGGGGCCTGGGAACCTGCAGTCTCTCCCAGACACAGAGCTTATAATGATGTCGGAGGTGTCTAATATCTGGAGTTGCTAATAGCAATCGGAGGCACTGGGAGATGTTACTGGTTTGGTGTTGCTTTGGTCCCTGAAGGCAGCATCTCTGGTCCAATGGGATTTGAGAGTCTGTGAGAGGTAAACAACAACAGACACACATGAGGAGTTTCACTGCTAATTAGAAATCCAGTCAGAGAGCAGCGACCTCGTGCAGTGATGCATTCAGGTTCTTCTTTTCAAATCCTTTCACCCGAGTGGGGAACTTGTTTTTCCGATATTCATGAGCTTTATGTCGTACAATATGTACGCTATAGAGAATATGTGTTTAAGGTTGCTTTTACTACTTGAGTGGGGAAGTGTTTTGTGGATTATCTGACACCACAGGAATGCAAAACAAATGCATTATCCTGCATTAATAACAGAAGTGAAAAATAGACGTCTGTTCCTTCAAAATGTAATGGACTCTTCCTCGCATGGTGCTGCATCCCTCCATCACGTCTCATTGAAATCAGGAGGCTTTCTGTTCTCCTGCAGGTAAACAAAAACAAAGGTGTAAACACAAGCTCCTCTGTGCAGGTGATGAAGCTCAGATGTTGAAGCATCCCTCAACGATGTGCACCTCCACTTTGCTCTCAGACATCTCTTCTTCACGGGGATATCACGTCTTTAGTTACATTCTCCCAGCGTAGTATAAAATATCTGAAAATATTGAAAGAGGTGCATCCCAGTGACTCCAAGCTGATGTCTTCAAATGTCTTGTTTCGTCAGTCCAAAATACATATATATCTTTTAATGTGATATAAGCAAGAAATATGAGAGAATTGAAACTGCGCTTTGTAAACACTTAAGGACCAATGACCAGCTGAGGAGTGTATATGCTGCATATCTCCGTGTGAGGAATGCATGGAGTGTGTTTAAGGAGTTGTGAAAACAAACAGGAGGAATATTTAGTCCGTAACGCACTTCCTCCTGCTCGCTGTGAACCTTGACGTGAAGCCTGAATCCCTGTGACAGGACGTCGTCTAACGGATAAACAACTTCCTCCTCTCAGCCGCCAAAACAGGAAACACACGTGTACACACAACGACGAAAAAGGAATGTTGTTGAAGACATTTTTGGGTACAGGAAGTGGAAAAATGTGATGTATTTTCTACTCCCCTGAAGCCTGCTGTTG